TTTCTGTATATTGTTTGGCCTTCTGTTTTGAGTTTTAATAATCACCATATACACAAAACAAAGCAGCAAAAAACATTTGTCAGTAGAAGAAAAAGTTATAATTCGGTTAACTTTCAATCCTGGGTTAGTGTTAACCGGCTTCCAAACAATCCTGCCCTGTTTTCAACAAGTTAACCTGACATGAGCCCGTCATCCAATCGAAAACCAGCACTTCGGGCAGCGGTCAACTTCAAAAAACAAGTGACCTCGATGAGATGTAAACTTGAGCCCGCGATATGGTTATGTGATACTGGTCAGCAGACACCTTGTTTTGACAGGTGTCAGTTGATCATAACATGGATGTCCAATATCAAAGAAGTACATGGTAAACCAAGGCTGCATGTCTCTGTCAACCTATTATTTGGAGTATGCCCGGGATGTCGCGCGACTCTGTCATCGCCGCTGCTGTCATCAAGCGTACGTGCCCATGAGCAATACTGCTAGCCATGATAACCATGAGAAAATCAACTCGTGGGTTTCCTTTTCTTTCCTATATGAGTATGGGGCTCAGCTTGGGGGCCCTTCGGGCCACCGGAGCTCTGCTATAATGGCAATAAAAAGTCCCATTTTCACATACTGGCTCAAAATTACATCTAAACTTGTACTGGTTTACTAGGTTTTTGTCCTTCCTTATGACGTTTTGTCATATTAGGGCACACAATAACTGTACATATGTACATAGGTATGTGTTAAACTTGTAAAGCAAGATTAAAAGTATTAATCATAACAATCACAATTTCCTCAAATGTGATTGGTGCATAAACTGCTGTATTTTGCATTAATTAATCTGCAAAGTAGTAATCCGACAGTGTAATTGGACAGTTGAGGCTGCAATCAGACACCTGTAATTGGAGAATTACCTGAGCCAATCATTTTAAGTCCTCTCAACTAAATCCATCAATCACAACATTGATCTCAATTAATAGTAACCAATTCAAATGAGTAACTGTAAAATTGTGAAGGTTTATCTACAGTGACTGTTTTCAAAGAAACTTTACAGCCATTTTTCAATCTATTCTCCATATTTGTAATTATCATATTTAAAAATATTAAAACTATTTTCAAGTGAAACTGTTACATTTTTGGGAAATTGTAATGGAAATGATTAATTGGTAACAGGACATTGTGTTGTCCAATTCTGTCTGTAATCACAATGGTGATTAACAAATCAGACTCCTGCTTCGAGCTCACCTGATTTTGTTTATTACTCAATCCATATGATTACAGAGCAAATTGGACTCCACTAAGTCCTATTACCAAAAATTATAGTCAAAAGGCTATAACTGTACCAATTAAAGGGACTTGATTTCTGAATTAATGTTTCCTTCCTTTTCTTTTTGACATTCTGTGCCAGTCAATGTGTCAGTAGTTAACACAGTAGTTGGTTGTTAGCTGGCATGTCAGCAGTGTGTATGAGAGAGGGTAGCCGGTGATGTATTAATGATGCATTGGCTGATGCAATGGTGGGATCAAATTCTTTACCTTATCTTACCAAATATAAGCTCTATTATTACGTTTTGATTCAGTTTAACACAAAAAGTCTTTAAGTTTAATTACACACTCTTCAGTCTGTCATAGATGACAATGAGGGCCACAGTAAACTTACTTGATCAAGGACAATAGAAATGAAATCAAGACCAGAAACTAATGTCTGGAGAACAGCAAGTCTCTATAAAGGAAGCAAACAATATACAAAAGAACATTAATTGTATTAATACACTTTGGCCACTTTTTGTATGATGTTTTATTTTGAGCCAGACTGAAAGACTTAGTTCCAAGCATGGCAATGATCCTTATGATGTCACAAGCTCTGTGATGATCACTGTGGTTAACAAAAAAAGAGGTTAATTAACAGAAAAATTGTAAATGCCAATGCTTTTTAATCAACGCTCTCTTAACTTCTATGGGAGATTTTGTGCTGGAGGTTAGTCAGATCACATTTTTTGAGGTGCTCTTTGATTTTGTATGGAATATTTTTTGATAAAGTGAAAATACAAAAAAACAAATGACAGTATCGTACTGGATTGTTTATAATTTCATTGTGCAGTGGCTATAATCGCAGCAGCTGAGAACAATGTATACAGATTTTCAGCGGAAAGCATTGAGGGTATCCTGTGTTTCTTTGGAAATGGTAATCAATTGCTTAAGTCATTTTGGTTGTCTAGTTGATCAACAGGCCATTTCCGAGTTACTTTGCACCTTTGTTTCAAAACAAGCCTTCGTGAAAAACCTTTCTTATGAAAATAAGTTCGATTTACATGAAAATGAAGCGGTAAGCAGAACCCATTTTCATATAAATGGTTTCGTGCAAACACTCGTTTTGAAACAGAGGTAAAAGGTGACTCAAACATGGCTTAAGATAGGAGGTCGAGCATACTATAAAATAAGCGTGTCCATGACTAAAAATTTATGGGCAGATTGACAGCCGGAATGTATCACAGAATTTCCACGCAGAGACAGGTTTAAAAGTTGTTAGAGTTGTTACACTGCTAAATGTAACAAAGTATTCAACGCAATATGTGATAACTTTCCTAATGCATAATGTATTAATGCAAAATGTAATAGATCTCGAATGACATGTATGGTTCTTCAAAATAAGCATCATCATACAGTATTTTCAAACCAAGTGGGCAACTGCCAGAGTTCCATCGCCTACTTGATCCTATATCACCGGTTACTCTGGTTATAGCAATCAGCAAGCTCAGCTTTGTGTCTTATTGATAAATCTTTAAGACAGCAGAGTTATTTCACATCCAATTTTGAAGAAATAAGTTTTTGTGTAATCAGAAGTAAGCTTGTTAAAAGAAAGCTCAAAGCCGGTGTTTTCAAAACAACCACTGGAGTTCTACCACCTACTTGACTATATAATACCAGTTACTCTTGATATAGCAATCAGCAAGCTCAGCATTGAGTCTTATCGCTAAATCTTTAAGATGATAGAGAAACTTCACAATCAATTTTGAAGAAATAAGTTTTTATGCAATATGAAGTAAGCTTGTTAAAAAGAAAGCTCAAAGCATCCGCTGTATTTTGTCAGTGACATATGTCGGCCTCACCACCACGGAGTTTAAGACGAGATAGCAAAATCACCAGTAAGCAAAAAATGACACCAAACTAAGCAAACATCTATGGCAGATAAAAGATCAAAAGAAAGACTGAAATCTCTTGAAATCCTATACCGACCTTACCAAATGATGTAACCTATGTAATACAGAGAAATTCTATATTTTATATAAACTGGACATGGCAACACTTAACAAATGTAATGAGCTCGTATCAACTTGCAGGCACAAGCATAAGTTCCTCCTTAAATTCAATCTTAACCCATTGACTCCCCTGCCGCCCATAACCAGCCGTGATGAGCCTTGGCCTTTGTTCCACTTCTGACGTCATCACCTGACCAAAATTGGCATCATCTATACTCACCTTCTGCAGGAGGAAAGGATCTTTCCAATGATACCCAGATCAGAGTGAAAAGCCTAAAGATGTAGGTCACATCTCAAAAGTTTGATTTCTCTGCATGCCTGAGCAAAAATGTCATAAAACGCGATGCTAGTGTAAAGAAAGGCATGCTGTCATGTTGCAAATGCCTTTTGGAGTAGATTGGAGCTAACTTGGCCCATATCCAGTCTAAAAATCTCCAAAATGTCCAAAAAATGTGTTTTTGGCAAAAAGCCCCGAGAGTCAATGGACCAATGATAAGGTTACAAAGGTATATTTCTATTTAAGTTTGAATTTTTTCTATTTAAGTTTGAATTTTGTAACGGCTTTGGTGAAGATCACAATTATACTGTATTGCTGATGTATATAAACTCTAGCAATGCTCCAGTGTACGTGGAATTTAACTGATGAGTGGACCAATGCTTTGATGGTCTATGAAACAGAGCTATATTAAAGTCCATATGAAACGATATTGAGTAGAAAAACATTGTTATTGAGATATATTATATTTTTCATTTTGTCATTTTCGTTTTTTATCTGCACGTACATATTTTAAACGAGTTTTTAGCTCACTAGACAATATGAGGGTAAATAAATGATAGATTGACTAGAGAAAGATTTGCATGACTGTTGTGTGACATGACACCTACTAAGCAAGAACCCAAAATGCAAACAAAACAGTAAACTTGAAATATGTAAGGTAGGGTAAAAAGGTCTGCATATGAGCCAAGTGGCCCATCAGGCCGGAGCTTATCCCAATTTCCATAGCATGAAGCAACTAGGAGTATTTCTACTCCCCCCTGGATGGAATGCTAGTCCATCGCTGGGTTACCCCCAAGCATTAAGTTCACCAGTACCCATTTATACACCTGGGTGGAGAGAGGCACTGTGAGAGTACAGTGTTTTGCTCAAGAACAGAACACAATATCCCTGCCCAGGGCTTGAACCCAGACCGCTTGCTCCAGAGTGGAGCACACTAACCATAAGGCCACCGTGCCTCCCACCAATACGTAAACGAACTCAATATGTAAACAGAAGTGTTGACCGGCTGGGAAAGCTTCTTCTTCGAAGGAGCAACGGCTTTTGAGAACACAACACTTTATTCTCAGCTGACATGCAGCCATGTTCGTTTTACACACACAATACAGCCCATGTGGAATATCGCTGACCCCTATGATATGACATGGGAGGCGCGGTGGCCTCATGGTTAGTGCGCTCATCTCCAGATCGAGCGGTCCGGGTTTGAGCCCTGGCCGGGGACATTGTGTTGTGTTCTTGGGCAAGACACTTTACTTTCACAGTGCCTCTCTCCACCCAG